CTTACTTGCTGTCTCTCTGGTGAGTGCGCACGCCCTATAGCAAAAATCTCTCTGAAAAAAAAAAAAAAAGAAAGAAAGAAAATTGCAGACATTACTTAAGAGGACAACGCAGAATAAAACAGAGGGAATATAGAAGCAAGGAGTGGCACCAGTCATTTATCTAAAACCAGAACGATAGTATCTAGTCAAATAAGAATGGATGGTCAAAATTAGACCACCTTTTTAACTAACTATATACACGTAATTATAATGTTCTTGCTGGTATTAAAAAGGAGATACCCTTACAGACGCAGATTTCCTTTATGAATGTAAATGTCCCTAATAAAACTTATCTGTTTGCAGAGCTTCCCCTGTGCCTGAAATTTCTTGATAATCAGCTCAAATTAATCCTTATGCCAAATATTTTGGTGTGTTACATTCTGGTCTTCTGCAGCATGTTTGAAGGGTTGGAAATAAAGTTAAAGATGAGATAGAAATGGCATCCTAAGCCGTACTATTGATTTTGAAATGTGTCCTATGGGTGACTTGGAGGTTATGGTGCAGGAGAATGATATGGTAATATTTGTGTTTTAGAAAGAAAACTGGCAACCTGATAGGGAACTGAAGCCAAGAAAACAGTTGGGAATAATTTGTTCCTGCTAGCTTCATGTAGAGCCTGCTTTCCACTGCTCTTTGCTTCTGGGAGACGGTTAAGGCAGAGCAAGAAATAAAAAGGAAGCCGAAAAGGAAGAAAGTTAAAAGAGAAGGGCAGAAAGAACTCTCTAGAGCAATTTATATAAACCACAAGGAGGCGTGAGGAAGTAGAGCTTCCCTTCCCCACTTCAAGTGTTGTCTAGCATCTTGAGCCTGGAAACCAGGAGCTAACTACTGGGTATTGTCTCTTGGTTTTTAACAGTTTTCTCTCTCTTGCCTTTCATATCTGATCTTGCCACCAAGTTCTTACTACATTAAAAAAATTTTTTTTCTCATTGCCCTCCTTATCATTACTAACACTAGCTTCCAGTTTAAACACTTACTTAGCACCTCATAAAAATCCTGGAAGGATTTTTCTTCCCTCTCCCTGTTGAATATTGCCTACCTTAGACTATCTTGTGCTACTATTAAACAATACCGTGGACCAGGCAATTTATAAAAAAAAGAAATTTCTCACAATTTGGGAGACTGGGAAATTCTGTTTCGAAGTGCTAGTATCTGGCAAGGGCCTTATTGATACATTATTCCATGTTTCGAAGTGCTAGTATCTGGCAAGGGCCTTCTTGCTACATTATTTCAAAGCAGAAGGAGGGAAGGCAAAAGAACACTAGAGAGAGGAGGAAGGGGGCTGAACTTAGCCAGTTATTAGGAACTATTCTCACAATGATAGCATGAATACATGTGTGAAGGCAAAGCTCTTATGATCTACTCCCCTTAGTGGTCTCACCTCTCAACACAGTTGCACTGGGGATTAAATTCCTAGCATATGAACTGTGGGAAATACATTCAAACCATAGCACCATGCAGAGACAAACCTTCTAAACTTTGATTTTATCATTATTGATTTATCATTTATCATCATTGCTCAAAAGCTTACTTTGAAAGGACAAAAATCAAATTCTTGGAATAAAGTTTAAGACCTTGTCATATCTACCACCGTGAGCATTCTCTTTCCCTGCCTGTGGTCATGATTTCCCTCCTGAAAAACCTGGAATCCTCATTCCATATTCTATATATCAAAATTATTTCAATCCTTCATTCAAATCCTATTTCTTGTTACTCATTTTTTTTTTCATGGGTAGGGGGAAGCCACACTTCTTTCTTTTTATGTAAGAGCTTGAAATTTTACCAAGAAAGCCTTTCTCATTTCTCAACATGCTATTGACCTGAATGTTTGGCTCTCAAAAATAGTCTGATAGTTCCCAAAGCGAATATACTTAGTTCGATTCAACCAATATTTACTATGCATCTAACAGGTATAAAGCACTGATATAAGTGTTCTAGAATGTCAGTGTTAAACGACCAGTATGTCAAATGCCAGTCCTTGAGAACAATTAACAGATTTATTCATTGAAAGAATATTTCGGCCTCACCTAAATGATTAATAATTTGTGACTTTTCAAATAAGGTACCCTCCTTTCAATGAGTTGGTCAGTTCCATAAGTACATAAAATCGTGCAGAGCCAGTGGTGTGGTGGTTAAGGGAGCTGAATCCCACAGGACCAACTGAGCAGTTCAAGTCCTGGACTCAGTGGCTTGAAAAACACAATTGTGGGTCCAGCAGGTGGCATGGTGGTTAAGGCTCTGGAATTCCCAAATGGGTGACTGTGGTTCAAGTCCTGGACCTGGCGGCTTGCTTTCTCACTCTTTCTCTCTCTCTCTCTCACTTCTCTGGCAAACTTGTGTGAAAAAAAGAATATTAATAATAAATAAATTAAATTAAATAAATAATTCTTTAAAAAAGAAAAAGAGGGAACCAGCAGTTAGCATAATGGCTATGTCGCTGGACTCCCACGTAGTCGACCGCGGTTCACGTCCCGGACCCGGTGGCTTAAAATTCACGCCGGGCACGTGTGCGTGCGTGCCCAAGATCCCGAGAGGGGAATGGAGGAAAAGGGATTGCGGCGTGACCATCCCCCCTGGGGGGTGATTTCTCGCTTTCTGTCTCTCCGTCTCTGTCTGTCTGGTGAGCGCACACGCCATATAGTGAAAAAAAAAAAAAAAACTCTCCAAAAAAAAAAAGAAAAGAAAAAGAAAAACACATTTGTGTGTGGTTGCCTAAAATCCTGAGAGGAGAATAGAGAAGAGACTGCATGTGGCCAAATCCCCTGAGGAAAGTGATTGCTCACCTTCCCTCTCTCTATGTCTCTCCAAGGGAGCACACCTGCCCTATAGCAAAAAAAAAACTTAAAGGTTTTTTGTTTGTTTGTTTGTTTTTGCCATAGGGGCAGGCACTCACAAAAGAAAGACAGAGAGAGAGAAAGAGAAAGTGAGAAATCACCCCCCAGGGGCATGGCCACAATGCAATTCCTTCTCCACTCTCCTCTCAGGAGGACACAGAAGAAAGAAAGAAAAAACTGTGATGGAAGGAACATAAATGTGTTTAATGGCACACATTTCACAACCATACTTCACGCTCAGTATATGCAGAAATGTAATCAAGGCTTCAACATTGAATTATATGCTTAATTTTGGTGTATGTATTGCTAATTATTCATATATTTCAAAAGCGCCTTCCTCAAAGGGTTGATGTTTGGGAAGCTGTGATGTATCCATCTTTCACATCATTCTTATATAGGTACCTGCACTATGTTAAGATTACTGTGGGAACTAACAGGCAGCATGGTTGGTAAGGCACTGGACTCCTACATGACCGACAGTGGTCTGAGTCCCAGAACTGATGGCTTGAAAATCTCCCAAGAGGAGAATGGAAGAGAAGGGAGTGTAGCATGGCTATCTCCTAGCGGGGGAGGGGATTTCACACTTTCCCTCTCACTGTCTCTCTCTCTCTGGTGAGCACATGCATCCTTTGGCAAAAACCTAAAAACAAAACAAATTTCTGTGTTGTTAATATTTTCAGTGTGGGGACCAGCAGTTGGGGTAATGTCAGTGGCTATGTCACTGGACTCCCATGTAGTTGACCACGGTTCTGGTCCCAGACCCAGAGGTTTAAACTCATGCTGGGCGCATGTGTGTGTGTGCTCAAGATCCTGAGAGGAGAATGCAGGAGAGGGGATTGCAGCATGGCCATCCCCCCAGGGTGTAATTTCTCACTTTCTGTCTCGCTGTCTCTCTATCTTTCTGGCGAGCACCCACCCCCTATAGCAAAAACCTCTCCAAAAAAAAAAAAAGTAGTGTGTTTTGTTTTTTAAACACCATAAATATGTACAATTTTCATCTGTCAAATACATGTACACATACATATTCCCTGAATGATAACTAAAAGTACTAAGTGTTTTAATAAACCCTTCCATAATATATATAGTTTCACAATAACCTAAAAGGGCTTCTTCAAGACTTTAGCAAAATAAACAATATACATTCTGTATATATTTTTGGACCAATGAACTATGAAGTGAAAATTATGCAGATCACTCAAATCATGTATAATTTGACATACAGCCTTTGGCAGCATGGTTTTAGTTTTAGGAGAAATTTGTCTCTAGAGAATTGATTCTTATGAAGCATTCCCCTATTTCTTTTTCCTTTGTCTTCTGTTCCCTACCTGAATGCTTTTTTTAAAGAATTATTTAATTTTATTTATGATTTTTTTTGAAATTTTCTATAGGACATGCACACTCACCAGAGAGTGAGAAAGCAAGTCACCAAGTCCAGAACTCAAACCACAGTCAGTTATGTAGGAGTTCCAGTGCCTTAACCACCATGCCACCTGCTGGCCCCCTGAATGTTTTGTTTTCATTTTCTTTTCAGTTTTTGATTGTTTATCATTTCTTATTTACATTTCATTGTTGTACATCTCTGTGAAGTATATGGATTTTCAAAACATACATGCAGTGTGCAATAATCAAATCAAGGATTATACTATATTTGTCATACTACAGTCCATGTGTCCCATCTACATGCATTCCTGTGCATGCCATTAATTTGAAAAGAAAAGCCAAGGCAACTTTTATTATTTCACCTGACAGTAAAGCTTAAGAGATAAGTTACTTAGCCATACTAAAAAATGGGGTGCATAAAGGGAACTGTCTCTAAGGAAGTAGGCAATCTGGATAAAAACCTAAGATCAAATGTCTGGCTGTGTCATTCTTGATATTTATGCCAAGAACCATCTTCCCTCTGGTACTTTTAGCAAAACTTATCAAAAAAATCAGTTGTAAGAAATCAATAGTTTCATTAGATAGGAGGTATAATTTTGCAAAGTATGGGAATTTTATCCCAAAGGTATTTGACTATCACAGGGAAAATTAAAGCTTGAGGGTCCATAAAAAAAGCAAAAAAGTACCCTATGTTACAGTCTTTGGCCAATGCTGTCTAATTCTTCTTTTTCGTATCTTTAAATACAGAATCCCCTTCACCTACAACTGAGTTTAGAAAATTCATTAAGTTCTGATGCTGATGTCACTGTCTCAATCCTGACCATGAACAACTGGTACAATTTTAGCTTGTTGCTGTGCCAGGAAGACTGGAACATCACTGACTTCCTCCTCCTTACCCAGAATAATTCCAAGTTCCATCTCGGGTCTATCATCAATATCACTGCTAACCTCTCCTCCACTGAGGACCTATTGAACTTCCTGCAGGTACAGCTTGAAAGTATTAAGAACAGCACACCCACAATGGTGATGTTTGGCTGTGACATGGAAAGTATCCGGCGGATTTTTGAAATTACCACCCAGTTTGGGGTAACACCCCCCGGGCTTCATTGGGTGTTGGGAGATTCTCAGAATGTAGAAGAACTGAGGACAGAAGGCCTGCCCTTAGGGCTCATTGCTCATGGAAAAACAACACAGTCTGTGTTTGAGTACTACGTTCAAGATGCCATGGAGTTGGTCGCAAGAGCTATAGCCACAGCCACCATGATCCAGCCAGAACTTGCTCTCATTCCCAGCACGATGAACTGCATGGACGTGGAAACTACAAATCTTACTTCAGGACAATATTTGTCAAGGTAGGATGCAAGGCCTGGGTTATATCTCCTTTCATAGGTCAGTGACAGGAGGTAAAATATTCCTATTTATCCTCTTTGCAGAAACATTGACTCTGAGTAGCTTTAAATTCTAATAATATTTTTAGAGAGGGTTTCTGGTTACAAAAAGTTAGTATCTCATGAACTGTCATCTGTGATTTGATCTATAAACTTGCAAGTTTATGGAGTAGAGGAAGCACACAGAACTTCTTTTAAATCCTGGTTTATTTCTTACTAGTTGTTGTGTCCTTTACAAATGATTTGAAAGCCCAGAGCCCAAGTTTTCAACTACTAATGCTAGGATAATATTGAATGACTTCATAGAGCACAATAAACAAACCAGGAAATATGTATGAAAAGTACCTAACACCATACTTGCCCCATAATACATGCACAACAAATGTTCCTTTTTCTGTCCATTTTCTGCCATATCAATAACCTTGAACAAATCTCTCAAAATCTATACAGAGAAAAATTAGCCAATCAGAGAAATTGACATTTCTCTTTCCTCTCGGGTCTTGTTGCTCAAGGCTTATAAAGTAGTGGTTAAAGGCATACACTCTGGAGCCAGACTGTCTGAACTTGAATTTTAGTTCTGCCACTTAATACTTTCATAACTTGGTAGAGTTACTGAACTTCTTTGAGTCTTAGTTTCCTATGTCCTAAGGATACATTTATGTAAAATAGAAATAACAGTAGATTCTATTGGATCGTCTGGAAAGTTGTGATGCATTTTTGCATAGAAAAATGTGTCATGACATTTTTGGTGATCTAATATTACCCATGGAATCATTGTGATTGATAGTTGAGAGATGATAAATAGATAGAGATAGATGATAGATAGAATAGATAGAAATAAGAGTTCCATAAAAATATAATTTTAAATATTTTCATATATTATTATTTATTTCATACATATGTAATTTTTTAAATTAATTAGGTATATTTTTGCTCCAGAACTTTAGTCTGATTCAGAAACTAGAATAAAAAATTCTCACTTAAAGAGTAACTTCTTAAATGGAAATGGTTTCCATAATCCATGGAAAAGGGGGAATATTCTTAAAGGAAACTGTACAGAGACCTAGATTTTCTTCTGGAAAAGGACCACTTGGTCAGAGAGACCAAGTCAGAGAATTACTGCCGTTTCAAAGTTAAAGCTCTACCTGTAGACTAAGCCTCAATTTCCCGAACAATGACACATCTTGTTATATCTGATTATATTGAGGAACACAGGCAAAAGGTTATGAATAAAGGTATATCTCAGAGTGTCTTAGCTTTAAATTGACATAAATATTTGTTATAATTTTAGGAATTTTAGATTTAATTTTACAAATAAGGATTACACCTACTATGTAGAAGACAAGATGCTAAATGTCATTTATATGGCAGAGTTAAAGACTAAACACAACCTGTAACTTCCTAAAAGAATGTTGTTAACAGAATAATGGAAACCTATTTATTTAAAAAAAAACTGCTAATAACAAAATCAGATGTTCAATCATTATCTGAACTTTTCATTTTTCATATAATTTGAACTTCCACAAGATTAAAATCTATGCATATTTTATTTTAAAACAGTATCCAGATTTAAAATACTGTTTGTGTGCTAGCACATAATTGAGGCTTGGGAGTCTATCTATGATAAGAAACATTCTTCTTCATAACAAATATATATGTAAGCAAAGTTTTGATTTATAATTTTGAATAGTCTTTATTTTCAAAGGACAATCATAAACACCAGGCAGGAAAAATACATTTGTGAAAACTAAATTAAGTTATTCAACATCTTTCTGTCTCCTGTGAAATGGAGAGCACAGAGGAAAAAAAATGATTGTTTGAATCCCAATAACGTTTAGAAACTACAAGAAGGGATATTTGTTGACTTTGATTGTATGGACTTTAAAGGTTCAATTTATCAAGATCAAGTTGATCTATCTGGCTCAAGATTTAATTCATACTAAAATTATATGCCTCCTTCCACAAGGATCCCAAGACACTTTACACATGAAATTATATGATGGTACTTAACCCATCTCATCATCATTATCTGTCTATGTGTCTGACTTCTGAGCTAGAATATAAATTCTATTAAGCGATATTGCTATTATCCAGCCTAATCCAATGCCTAGCACACAGCAGGCAGTTAATAGATATTTATTGAAATTGATATACAAAGAAGAAAAGAAAACTTTCTACTCTATTTACATTCTCCTTTATCTGTTGCTGTAGAAGAGAATGGCTAATTACTAGACAAATATTACTTAAATTAGCATATACCTCATTCCTTTATTACCTAGATGCCTATTATCTCATTTCCTTCTCTTCCCCTTTTTTTTTTCTTTTCCTTGGTGGGAAAAAAGAAAGTTGTTTCCACAAAGTTTGAAAGTTATAAAACCAGAGTGTACGGTTTGGAGTTGAGCAGGATTCACAGGTATAAGGGTCAGTGACAATATTTTCATCCCCTTGGATGTGTTTGAGATAGGAACTCAAAGAACTTCAGAAAATATGCCTAGGATTTCTTACACTCCCTGAGGAATGTAGTCAAAGAGAAAGTTTCAAAGTGCTCAGGAAAGGGTCAAAAGAAATGGGCAAACCCTGGAAGAAGCCCTTATCATGAGTAACTAACTTAAAAGTTGCCTCAAGCCATAAAACATCTGTGGAGTCTTCACCATCCTACTTATTTTGTGTAATACAGTCTTTTAAAAAGTTAGTTATTCTCACTCCCTAAGTCACATCTGCATACAGTAATTTTCTTAATTGTCCTAAATTTTTTGAGACTGACCCTACTTTCGCATTGCAGAATGAAAGTCAGAAGAATAATGAGCCATGAAGAACGGGTGTCAGAGTTATGCAAGCTTTCATTTCTCACACAGTCATTTTCAGTTTGGGCTGACAGAATTGTTAACATCTAAAAACGTTCATTAAATCACCAAAAACATGGCATTTTCAACACAGGCTTTTAGACTAGAAAAATTATTTCTCATGGCAGACTACAAAGCTATAATTAAAAGGTATAAGAGGTTTTATTCTTCCCAGGTCTCTATCTGCCAGATGGAATTATAACTAAATGTAGACAAAACCATTTGGGGACCAAGTTCAAAGTGTGATTTTTAAAAGATTTATGTATAAGTTGTTTTATTAAATGTTAATTACCGGAGCAATTATAGCTTATATATATCATAAGTACATATGTATGCGGGTTTTTGTCCAACCAATGACCATTTGTTGAACTAGGGTGAAGTAAACAAAGCACAGACTTGAATTCTGCCATTTTGAGCTGGCAGTCTAGAGTACAAGATCAACAAAGGATGTAGTTATAAAACAATGGAACGTGCGCTTTTTAAGAATAAAGATATATTCAGAAACACAGAGAGGGAAATAATTAATTCTCCTCAGAGATTTGGTGATGAGGGAGAAACACTGGAATTGAATTTTTATAAATGAATAAAATTTCTCAGATTTGGAGCAAATTCACAGACAGTGGAAAAGGCATATGCAAATTCAACCAAGACCTAAAAGAGAACTTTAATGCAGTTGAATCATTAATCACATTTGAGAAAATTGGAGATGACTCTGGAAAAGTAGCTAATTTGATAGCATACCACACAGAGCTTTTATGCCAGGCTGGGGAGTTTGCATTATATATGCATAGTGGAGATCAGTTGAATGGCAGAACATTAGCCATGACATATTTATAAAATCATAATCCTGTAACAAATTAATCAAAAAAGTAATATAGTATAAAAGTCTTGCAAGTTTTATTATTATTATTACTATTAGGGTGCAAAAATGGTTTTCATTTTTCAAATTGTTTTTAGCTTCACCCACATTTACTCACTCACTGCATTCTGAACACCAGATTCTAGTAAAAGTGAAAAGGAGTTTGAGATGGTTTGTATAGACGTTAAGGGTTCAGTTTATCAAGGTCAAGCTTATCTGCTCTTCCTAGGAATAAGACTACCCATGCCTGCCTGATATATACCTTGTTTCCCTTAACCCAATAAGTGCTTCACCCTTTGGCTAATCAAGTATAGTTCTGATAGTTACTCTAGTTTCTAAGTAGCCTGTGGAATCCTGTCCTTTTCCTTTGAACAGCTTCTGCAGTTCAATTCAAGTATCCCATGAGATATCAAGTGGACAGTGGTTAATTCAATTATTAATTCATAAACATTTGTTGAAGTTTATTAATATTAGGACAAGCCCGCTACTGGAGACACAAAGAATTGAAGCAAGGGGGTCCTGCTCTTAGGAAGCCTATACCCTTTTCTTCTGTTCCCTCACCAGGAGAGGATATATCCATGTAATTATCCATACTTTCATCTATTCGACCTGGCTATTTACTTATCATTTTTCACTGGGACAACATTCTACTAGTGTTTAGCCTCTGTTACTGGCTGGCAATTCTAGGCCCCTTTCTCACTTGACCTTTAAGAATGGTCCAACATGCTAGCAACTCTCCCCTCCAAGCTACGTTGATCTTTATGCTTGCGAAGAGAACATGTTTTGTGATGACTTAGTACTTCTCATTGTTCTTCCAAAGTGATCTCTCCCTAACAGAGTTACTGAAGAGCTGATACTTCTAGAAAACACATGCCTTGGTGTCATGCATTTCAGAAACCACCATTTAAAGTCTCTGTTCCCAGATATTTCCAGGGACCCTCTGTCACTGGACTAATTTGGCTGAAATTCTTTAAACTTGCTCCTCCCACCAAGTCACTTAAGTAATGCCAGAAGATGAGTCTGAAATTTTTATTAAGTCATGGGAGCCTCAAATAATGGACTCTAGAAAATACATTAACCCAGGACCCTGTTTTGATTAGTACAACTCAAAGCTACTTCATCTAAGGGCCGGTAGATTTTAAACTCTGTAATTTTTCTAAATTAAAAGAGCTTCCAAGCTTTTATTGGTGTGAGAAGAAATTATATTCTTTCTTGACTTTTTTACTTTGTACTCATTTGCTATAAAATTTGGAAATAGGCCC